AAGCTGCACACAGAGTAATTGACATTATCAGTGCATAAAATATGAAGATTTGACTTTCATATCAGGATGCAGAGACCTGTGGCTCATTGCACGTTCAGTTGCTGGCAGCTATTTCTTAAAAATTCATCTAGCTGATTGATTTAAACCGCTGAACTGGTTCACCCGATGAATAGCATTAGACCAACTGACTGCTAACTGAAGAAAAGAAGCTGCCATGTGCTGTCTGCAGCAGGCAGTCATTTTAATGGAAAACACAACGTTGTTTTTTAAAAAATAAATAATGTATATTTTAAACGAGATTATTGTACCATAAGAATTTAAGATCAACTGACACAAATTGCCTCCCTCTTTTTCGTTGGCTTTCTCCTTCACAGACACACTCAAATGATGTTGCTTTGCCACCGTCTCCTCATGGCTTCACTGTATTTAGTTGCCATGGTGAGCCGAGCAGCTCTACTGTTTTTCATCGACGGCGCTCAGAAAGTTTGAGGCATCAATACTTAATGTCTGGACATCAGACAAATGGGAGCTGGTACAACAAAGAAACCCTGCTGTGCTTAAGAGTGTGGCTTTTATGATGTTTCTGCTCTTTGGGAACGTGGTGTGAATTCACCCACATTTCCCTCCACTTTGTTGTTGTCCTCATCCAGTTGAATTTGATAACAACTGATGTTCTCGTGCTATGAAACTGTGGCGCAGTTAAAGTTGGTATTGTACTCACGTCGTGTAAAAACTCTAGGCGTGCGTTGCATCAGGCTCACTGAAAGCAGGAAAAAATAAACTACAAGGTTGATTTGGATTAAACCTTTTAAAATGGCGCATCAGCAAAGAGAGAGCACAATGAGCTCATATGTCTGTGAAGGTTCTCAGTCATCCAGGTCATCGTAGTCAAAGGAGCTCTTTGGTGGGGTGTCACAATCAGCCAAGGTTTCAGATGAACCCACTGTGAGACCTAATAACTCAAATGTGTTAAATGTAAGAAGTAGGAATAAAAGTAAAAAAATATGCTCAAGTAAGGTACAGATACCTGCAAAATCTACTTAAGTACAGTAACAAAGTATTTGTACTTCGTTACTTATCACCTCTGATTAGTATTGTAACAACATCTCTAACGACACATGTTAGTTACAGCTGTTATTTGTCTGTCAGTGTTAGACAGACAAATAATGTCGTGCTCCTTCCTGCATGCATTTACATGGGGTGTTGTAAACTAGACTTGGCTGACCACATTCGCACAGTTTATCTAAAAGTAGGTGAAGCAGAGGTAAAGCCAAGCTTTGATGTATTTTAAGTGAGTCCGAAAGTAAGTGTTTACTTTGTAAATATCAAAACAGGAGTATGCAGATGAAGGAATAACGACAAAAAACCTGAATTTGAATTTAGACAGCAGCTCCCCTTTTGGTTTTTAAGCCCTGCCATCAGACATTTTAAGAGCTTCGTGCACCTAAAAAAATGAAGTTATGGTCTCATTTGCTTGCTTTAAGTGTTACTGAATACAATAACGTGTTTATTTTGTAAATTGTGCTAATTTGAGTAAAAAAGGAAAGGAAGGTAAAGCAGTGTAAGCTTTGCTGTGGATTTCAGTTAGTCATGTGCTCCTTGCTGGTCACAATCTCTCTCTTTTTTTTCTTTTTTTTTTTTTTAAGTCAAATGCACAACTATTACAAATGAGCACACAAGCATGGTGACTTAACAATTCGTAACATATCTTATCAGCTCTTAAGAAGCCACATTTGCAGCCTCCCACAGTCACAGTGAGCAATTATCTTACAGTAAACCCGGGAAAGGCCACAGCACTCCTTTCTGAATCCCACAGTCACTGACAAACATCTCCCCACCCGTCAGTCATGATAAACGACGCACAGCCTATCGACCAGTGTCAAGTAGGATACACCTGATCGACTGCGTGATGTATGAATGTGTTCGTGTGAGAGTGAGAGAAGAGAAGAAGGGAGTGAGCGTGAAGCATTGTGGGGAATATTTGTAGACTCCCACCTTGGTGAGGCGGTCACCGCGAATGTCTGACTGTACATACATCAAACATCAGCTCAATCTTCCTTACCCAGCATCCTCTGCTCCTGCCTTAATGACTCTTTGTTGATCTGTGTGTAGCTTTGTCTGCTTAAACAGCACACAAACACGCTAATGCTCGCAAACACGTCACAGCTGATCAATGGGAGGCTGGGTCATGCTGCCCTGGGAGAGTTTAGCTCTCAGGGAGGTCTGGACCTTAATGTGTACTTACATCAGAGTTGTACTGATTTATCGGCTTTCTGATATACTCGCCTTTGGTTAAGACAATATTTGGAGTTTTCCTGCTTGAACTTCTAGAACATGAACTTCTTAATTTTGTCGGCTTTATCTTGCCAGTCAAAGCCTGAAAAAATCTTTGAGTTTACTGTGTGTACCAAAGTACACTTACTGTGCTTGCGGTTTATTTGCTCTACAGTCTAAACCCAAACATAGTGTAGCGTAGTAGAGAAATACTGCTGTTATTCTGTTTACCCCCATGTATTGCACATCTTTATGTCCATGTTTATCCCCACAGCACCAATGCTGTAGGGTGATAAATGGTCTAGGATTGTTCAACAAGAAGCGCTCAAAGACAGATTCTGGATATTCAAATAAACTGCCTTAACTTGACTTTGAACAAGATGGAGCAAATGTGATTTCATGTCCTCCCTCACACACATTTTCTGGATATTTCATGCTTTTATGGGTATTATAAGAAAAATGTTGAGGTTGGATTGCAGTCGGTTACACTTGGAGATGAGTAAGTTCAAGGAAAATTGCAGTTTGAGGAATGAAAAGCAACAAATGTCCCTGAGCAGGCTCTTAACTAGAGACGACTAGCCTTAAACTACTTGGGTGCCCCAAGTCAAATTAATTTTACTTCAAAAAATGTCTTCCAAGGTTTCAGAATCTGTACTGCATATGATACCCTCTATACTTGCAGCTGAACGAGGAGCAAAAGGAAAAAGAGCTGGGTGAAGTAACAGTGTCATTATAAAGCAGACAATAGAAGTTCAAAATGTAATAAATTGTAGGTTATAAGATGTACTGAACCAGTTCTGTTGGAACTGAAAGAATGAAACTTGATTAATCTGCAAATTCACCAGAGAACACCACTTATGACTCATGTGATTGTTGTTTACAAACCTCGGTTGGTGTTTTACGGGGCAGCGCAAAGCCTGAACAAACCACACAGAAAAATGCAGCAAATTATGCCAAACCGTTGTGGCTCAAAGCGAGGAAACACACCATGCAGTCAGCCAAAGTGACAGTGAAATATGCTCAAGTCAGATCTGCTGTTAAGCATATGATTCACTTTGTTTAATTATATAATTATATACTTATATAATTACACGATGCTCTCTGTGCGTGGTGGGAAGGTTTAACTGAAATATAAAGGTTAATAATGTTTAAAGCCAAATTGTGATTTAGTTGTAGTGCACCTACACTGTTTTTGTTATTATTATTATTATTATTATTATTATTTTATCATTATTAACCTGGTTTTTGAAGTGAAGAACTCAAACAATTAAAGACTAAAGAGCAGTCAGCCAGCTCTTTGCAACCACCAGTCACTAAGAAATGTGTGTTCTGCAACCAGTTGGTGAGCAGTTGGTGAAAATTGATGTAAGTCTAGTCACACAGACCTCATAGTAACCACAGGTTGGCTTGCAACACCATCAACCTCTTTGCAGTTATTTACAAACCTTCGCCCACCTGTCTGAGAGTGATTGCAATGAGTCTCAGACAGTTTGGCGAAGGTTTGCAAATAATTGCTGTCTAATTTATAAATGCAGACAGATTTCAAACACATTGCAAAACAGTGTGATACGTCTCGCTATGTCGACTCCCACGCAAGGTTGCAGAGGACATCAGTCATTTTGAAGTTAAACTGACATCCTGTAGCAATAATTTGTGGGGGAATTTCTGAATTTCTGACTTGAAGCTGACACACCAATGGTGGTCTGAAGTGATCAGTCTGCAACTGATTGCAAATGGTTGCAGACCTGTTTCCTATCTGGTATTGATCCTCATAAGGAAACAACCAAGGGTAATAATATCGCAAGTTAATTGCACACAGTTGCAATAATTTCAGTCATATCGTGGTCTCCAACCCCTTGTTTCTCTGGTGTGACTGTCCTCACTGCTCAAACCGTTTATTTTCATACTACTATCAAATTACTTTGCCTTAAAGGGTTGTGGTTTTATACCATTAAATAACAATAATAATTGAAGCAATTATCTTGGGCGTGTGGATAAATGTTACTATTGGGCCACAAAGAGACATCCTTTCTTTAAAAACAGGCCTAATTTTAGGCTCAGGTGTGCTTCAGGTTATAATAACAACAGTTTGTTACCAACTATTAGTTAAGGGTGCAGTCGGTGATGTGGGGAACGCAGGGCAGGTGCTGCTGGAAAATTTAACAGTACGGTATGTAACAAGCCATGAAGGACAGCGGAACTCTGGCCGAAGCCTGATTGGTCCGAAGGCTACGCACTTGAAGCAGGAAATGACATGGGGAGGGCAAACAGGAAATGCGAGGCAGAGCGGCGAAGTTGTTCCAGCATGTTTTTCTTTTCTGGCCGTTCCCATTCCCTCGCTCGCCGCTGCACAACGCCAGGCTGCGAGAGGAAGGAGAGGGAGGAAAGGGAGTGAGAGAGTCAACTAGAGGAGGGCATTTTGGGGAAATCCCTCCCCCGCCCCTTTCAACCCTCACCCCTGTCCACAGACATTGAACCCTTGTGAAGCTTTCAAACTGCTGACTCAAAACTGGCTGTTGTGACGTGCAGAGGGCTTTGAGTTCACTGGTTCGCTGGTTACAGAAGATGTTTTTTTTTAAATTGTTTTTACTGCCATCTGCGTGGAAAACACCCTGAAACGTTTTCAGATATTATGTGATACCCCAGCTCTGTGCTGTGTCTGTCGGGTGGACAGAAACATGTCTCCGGTAGGATGATGCTGCTACATACCTGTAGGAGGTGTAAGTAGAAATAATCCTTGTAATAGCAGAACCGTGGCCACTGTTCCTACCTGCTTTATTGAATACATTCATGCTGTACTCTGAAGAGTCTTGTCAAAAAACTATTTAGCTGGCCTAATCTCCAAATTTGTTTTAATAGTGGAAGAAAAACGGTGGCTATAAAAGTGTTTGACAGAATTATAACCTGTCTGTGGAGTTCCCCTCCACTCTACGGATTGATTTAAGGCCTTTTAGACCTTTTATGTGGATATGCAGCCCTCATCTTTATTGTTCTGATCCACTCTTGCTACTCAGCCTAATTTCCTGCACTCTTCAGTTACCTTTCAGGCAACAAATGTCTAACAAAACAATTGATGAGTGGAACATCCCCATCTCCAGCAATTATTTCGACTCTACGAGCATGTTTCTACCAAAGTACGAGCTAATTTACAAGACAGCACGCGGTGTGATGAGTTGGTCATGTTCTTATAGTTGTTGCCGCGTCTCATCGGTATTCAGCAGCGGGAGCGCCGTGACGCACTGAAGCGCAGGAGGCAACATTAATCAATGGGGCGAGCAATCAGCACCCAGCCTAATTCAATCACCCCTCCAACAGAATGCTGCCATTAGGACAACAGAGGCGTGCAAGTGTGTGTTTGTGTGCTTGTGTGCTGTTGTGTCCGTTTGATTTGTTCGCATGCTGGTCCCTACGCCAGCCACTCAGCTGCCGCCACACCGACAACCCGAAACAAACCCCTTTATAGAGGGAAGACGGAGCGGATCGAGACCATTATGGAGATGAGTGCTGTCTAAAATTGGAGATGCCACTTTCTTGCAGTCCACAATCGAGACAGAAGATCAGATGTGAGGCCAGAGAGATAACAGTGTAGTTGTTGTTGTCATTTTCTGCAGAGGAAGCTGAGATTGAGACAAAGAAGTGCTGTGAAGCAAAAAAGTTTTCTCTCTTTCTTTCATAGCAGGCAGCAAAGATGGGAGTCGTGTTAAGTATATGGCGTCTGGACTTTAAAGCTTTTGTCCCTCTCTCTGTCTCCTTTGGTAATATGTAACTTAATATGTTATTCCCTGTAATCTCCCACGACTCTGGCTATTGTTTTACTACATCCTACATCATCTTCCTTCCTTCCTTCCTTCCTTCCTTCCTTAACCTATTATCACCATTATCACTCTACTATATGGTTTTCCTATAGAAATGATCCAGTCAGCATTGGGCCTTAAAAATGCAAGGCTCAACATTTTTAATGACTGTGTGAAAATTAAATTGATCAGTTTATTATTATTTTACCAGGAACGTATCAGAAAGTTTACAGACTAACTCGCTGTTTTAATATCTGCTTTAAAAATGATACAACTTTAGTGTTGTATCAGCTTGTCATGCACCATTTGGCACAGCTGTATTGAAGACACAACTCTATGGCTGTGTCAGTCTTTCCATCCATTTCAATTATATATAAGCGGTTTTGTTCAGATAGACGGAGATGCTGCAATGGCTTGGAAAGATGAGACTTTCTGGAAATACCACAGCAACTTTTTTGAATCCTGCTTCAGCTGTTTCTAATCCTGTACCAGCGCTGATGTGAAGATTTATTTTCTGAGTTGTAACATCTATCATTGAAGAGAAGACTGGAAATCTGTACGAATCAGAGAAATTAAATTAAGTTTATAAGCTAATAATCCTAAAATATTAGTGAGAGAACTCTGTGAGGAAGCATTTGGCAATATTGGGGAAGAAGAAATTCCTTTTACGATGAAGAGATCTTTGCATGGCTGCCAGTGTTGTGAAACAACCACAAATATTCAAAGTGCCATTATCAGTAAAGAAGACAGAGGAATAACTAAAAATGATGGGCAAGCAGAGGGAGAGCTAGAAGCTTTTTCTATAATAGCTAAGTGTAGCGGTAGCTGACCTGAAATTCCCGAAATAAACAAATGTTATGTGTGTACTTGGCAGCGGTGCAAACCAAAAACAGGTACTTAACATCAGTTCATTGCTGCAAAAATGCCTCCAGTGTTTTTGTGTTAACCTATGCCAACCTGTTTCAAGTCCGACCTGTTTTCCCGCTCTCCACAGTCATCTCTGTCTCCGCTTTCCAAAATCCAAGATCGATGACCCAATTCCAGCATGCCTGTTGCGAGTTTGAGTGAAGAAAGCCTCAGACAAGCTGAGCTCTTATCTGGCCTGTAGATTAAAGAGGTGATGAATCCGAGGCTTGAGCGGACTTACAGTATCTCTCCATTCTCAATCAAAGTGGGCAAACTCGTGAAAGACCTGTATTGATCTGTTGCCCATTTATGACTGGATCTGTGGGTGATGAGAGTCAGGGCTCCATCGATACCTTGCTCCTTCAAACCTGCCCAATCCAGCTCCAGTGATAGCAGCTCAATCCATATCTCTGCAGGCGCCCTGCACCTCGCTCCCATTGCTCACAGTTTGTCTTACTCACCTTACACTTTAGACTTTGCCTCACATGTGTGACTCTTTTTATGATCAACCTTTGAAATTCAGAAATGTAAAGCCAGTAAAACATGTCAGAAGATTACATATTGATTGTTGGGAAGGCTCTTTTTTGTAAAAGTTGAAGAAAGGTGAGGATAAGGTTGGAGTTGATTGTAAATCCAGCCATATATTGGACCACACACCCATGTACAAAGAATAATACCCTCCATGTGTAATGTGAAAAAAATGTTCTTTTTAAATAGTGTCTTTATGATGCTAAGACTTAACTTTTGAATAAGGTTAAACCTCTTTAATTCATTGTGACAGCTGACAATGGAAAAATATGTAAGCAATGTCATTAATAGTAAACTGAGTCATTATCATAGCTGTAGTTCTTGCTCCGTAAGTTGAACCCATTTCATTTTTAGGTCTCACACTTTGTAGTGTTTCAAATAGAGCCGCAAAAGATACACCATAAATTAAAGATGTGTTGAATATATAAATGGCTCATTAAATATGCATGTAGGCTATAAATGAAATATTCATTAAGCTGTTATAATGCAGCAGTGCAAATATATTTGATCAGTACATTTAATAGTATAATTGCTGAGATTTGTAAACATGACAAAGATAATGTAAAAGAATCCATCCATATTTCAGGCCAGACTGGAGCAGTCTAAGCAAAGAGCAGGAAGCATCCTAGTCACATGCCTAAACCACATCAATTGTTTGTTTGTTTTTAATGTGTGGAAGTAGTTAAAGAGCAACAAGGTCTTAAGTTGTTAAATCAAGCTGGGAATCCACAGTAGGAATCCACCGGCTAGTCGGCTGACTTAGCCTTTGGGGGCAATGGCAAATTTTTCTGAGCTTCCAGTGTCGTCAGCAGGTACGCAGAACAGGAATTCCTGGCAGCGTTTTAAAAAATAGGATCCACCCTGGAAGTTGTCAGGACATGCCCAAAGAGATGATCATCCAAAAACACAATAAAAAAAAAAAAGGGGATTTAAAAAAATAAAAATAAACATCATTTAGTTTCATGGTCCACTGGTCTGATGGGCCTGATGACAACATGTTGATATTAAACAACCATCAGCTGCTTGCTCAACATCAAATCTTGGTTAAAGGGGAAAAAAACCTATTAAAATCTGACAGTTGTGCCAACGTTGAATACCTAACCTTGCTCTGAAATCCATTTATCATCTTATTGGGCAGAATTATTAGGGTAGTGTTCTTCACAATGAGTTCATGTTTTAGAGATGGGCAACATTATATTACTGCTTTTTGTGGAGTAGTCATCCATTTAGTAACCTAAGTATTTGTTAATCAGATGTTCGGCAACTAAAAAAGAGCAAAGGTGTGCATTTCTTTTTTTTAATTACAATAATCTCGTCAGTATTTATTGAATTATAAAAGATGTTGTGACTGGACTTGGGTTGCATGAGGAAACCATGTCAACATCTGCCTGCTTAACGTCCAGTTTCGGCCATAATGTGCTGAACAGTTTGATTTAGAGATAAGGTTTATGATCCCGGCTTCTTTACTTGCTGGTTTGTGGTACACTTGAAGAAATACTGCTCTTTGGCTCGACACACGCGCTGCTTACCTGCATTCAACAAGAACCTGCTCAGACACGACCGGCTATTAACTGCTGACGCAATACAAAAGGAAACTAACTGTTGTTCCCCTCGCCTTAAGATTCTGTATTCTCACATCTTTATTGGTGTTACAAAGAAAAGAAAATGCCACAGGTGCTTCTACTGCTGTAGCACATCCACCCACAGCAGTACTAGCTTTAGGCTGTGATGGTTTTGATGCACGCCGTTAGCGGTGAGGCTAATCTAGTAGAAGCTGGTGTTAGCAAAAGACTGAAGGCGCTTGAATGGTGATCGGAGCGGTAGCTGCTAAAAGCCACGCTTTCACCTTATGTAGTGGGGTCACAGCCTAGCAACAGTGGGTCTGAGGCTTAGCAACAGCAGCCACAGATTCAGTCCAGCAATGCGGTAATTGGACTTTCTGACAAAGTGCCGGTGGACCGACACGCTAACAAATACAGACACACTTCATCAAAAGGACACATGTGCACACTTGTAGTGCACAACCCTGCTTGTGTGTGATGACGAGGAGTGAAAGACAGAGAATGTGTATCATTAGAGGAGAGGGATTGAAAGTGTTTCTGTGTGTGAGGGAGAAAAAGTGCGCCTTTCATTTGAGTCTTTCCCTGTGGCTCTATTTATATTAATGATGAACCTTGGTGCTTGTGTCGCTGCTGCTTCGCCCGTCTGCGCGCTGCCCTGTCCTTGGGGACTATGAATTATGTCTGTCACCCAACAGTATTTGCAGTATTTTGACAGTTTAACACTCTGCAAGAGCTCAAGGTCACATCTGGGTTATTATCATTTTGTTATAAAAAAATATTTATAAGCTAGTGAATATCAGTTAATTACCAAGTGATCATTTTCTGATTACCTGATCAATCCATTGGTTACTTTACCAATTAAAAAAAAATAAACCACAACAACTTTTTAAATTAAAAACTGTTTCTTTGCAAATAAATAGTAGTTGTTTACATGTTCGCCTAACAACAAGGAGAAGCTCCCCAGGACGAGGCGACACCGATTCCCTTTGGGGTTACGTCAGGGAGGGCATCTGCAAATTCAAACATGTGGAGCAACTCGTTGTTGAATATTTGGAAATATTCACACTGCTGTCTGGTTTTTTTAAGCTTGGAAAGCCCTGTAGTGTTTGTTTTGTTTTGAGCTACTGATGAAAAGTAGTTGTGTGTTTTTATCTTTTTCATTCTCTTCCAGATTGGTGATGCTGTGGTTTGCAATGGGTATCTAGATAAAGACAGAATGACAACCTCCTTGTGAATAGGGAAAATCAGTCATTGCCCATCTAGTGGCTGCAAGTAGCTGCAGCAACCAACTGGTCACCCAGAAGACGGGCATGCAACGGTATCAACCTCTGGGTCACTGCAACCTGTCTCCAAACAGTTGCAGTCTAACTCAGACTGACTGCAGTTACTCTCACAAACATTGCAGACAGACTGCCAACCTGCTGTAATCAATCTGAGTCTGTGCTGAGGCATCTCTTTGGATTAAGGGAATTCATGTTCATATATAAAAACGAGGTTGCTGTGCTCCTGTATGCAGTTAAGTTTCCACCAAGCAGCAAATGTTTGTTCTTTTAGATCAGCGAGGTCGCAGACTGACTCTGTCTTATTGCTGTTTTGCCATGAGGCACCAAAGTCAGTTTAAATATGGTAATGGACCATGAATCAATGCAAACCTGGTCTCCATCTTCAACGCAACCATTTTGCAGTCCCTGAGACAGCAAGTTCATTTCTGGTTGTTCTGTGGACGGTAGCATTTAAAAAACCAACAAACAAAAAAACTCATGCATGCATCACCAGAAGCGTAGGTCTCCGTAATATGTGATCAACATAAGTGTGATGAACAGATTTCATGCAAACTGATTACTTTGACCTATCAATCCAGCATTAAATAATTACTGTATTCCTAAATTTTTGCATATTCGTGCATGATTAAGCCTATTAGAGCCACTTCAACTTTAACAGCTTCCCAGTGATAATCAGTGAAGCTCTCATCAGATCCCTATAAATTCATATGTTAACAAGAGCACGTGTTTTGTCCTCGTGTCACCAACTGTCACTGGCATAACTCTGCTAGAGATAAATAAATTACAGCTAGAGGCATACAGCACCAGTTTGTAATGCAAAATACATAACTGGAATTATTATATCAAGATGATGTGCTTAGAGAGCTGAACAGAGCGGAGGTATGTGGACTGATTAGAGATGTAATAATAGAGAGAGGCAGAGAGCAGGGAAAAAAAGAAAGATGTACACACAGCTAACAAGCGAGGCGGAGAGTTACCAAACATCATTATGAAATGTGTACTGTACTAAGACTTACTGGATTTAATCAACTCTCTAATCTCATAAAAGAATGGGAGTCCCTGGGGTACTTAAAAAAATAATCTCATCAAACATTCCCGTCTATAACGGAGCACTGAAAGTCTGGATTTCTTGAAATCGGTAAATATATCTGTGACGAGGGAAGCATATGTCCATCCCGTCTCATACGGAAATAAAGAAATACATGTCAGTGTTGTAATGGAAAACAAGGCTGGGCAAGAAGATGTGTGCAAAGCATTGGTCCATTTTACAGATGTTACACTGAACATAAAGCTCAGGAATTGGACCAGTTTCTCTTCTGGGTATTGTTTCCGAGTGTAAGACTTGGCTTTCAAAGAATTAAAAGCTGTTGTAGAATTCCATAACATAAGGAATTTTGAATTTTTTGGATGCTTTAGCTGTAGTTCATTTGTCAATACCCGTGTTGTGCCAGTGACTTGGGGATGAGTTGAAGCTGTTATCACGGCGACTTTCATACGTATTTCAGAATGTCGGTGGGCCAGTTTGAGCTCTTGTTGGAGGAACTGGGACCACATCTGAGGCACAGAAATTATTTATGTGAGCCAAGTGACCCAGAGCAGTTGCTTAGCTGTGTATCTGAGGTACGATAGGATTATTTTACTATTTCCACATCGTCGTATGTTCAGTATGCAGGCACGTTATGAGCTGTGAGCGGGCTTGCTGCAGAATGCAGTGATCCAATTGGGCAGATGTGTTTATTCATATGTGTTTATTCTAAAAATCGACATGGATCTGAAAAAATGCATACTGGAAATGCGTCCTTTATGGTTGCTGCGAACAGCTGCAACCAGAGTAGGTGACCCCAAAAGATATTTTTAATGCACAAAATATTTGCACGAATCTTGAACATCTGGTGTGTAAAGACCTTTTCTGAGCATCTAATCACTGATCTTTTGCTTTAGTAGAAAGCCTGTTCATCCTACTGAGCTACAGCCACCTGGCTGCTGATTGGCAGTAACTGCTTCTAGATGTGCTTCTATCCTGGGTCACAAACTTTTGAATTATTTCACCTCCATGCCTCAAACTTTCACAATCATGCTTTGCTGCTCTTTAAAAGAGGATCATTGTCTGTTGGAGTCCAGTATCGAAGCAGGCAGCTCATCAAGGCACAGAGAACCAAAGGACGCCGTGCCCGTATTGACAGTATTTGACGACCTGGGATGAGAATTTGTTGCAGAGAATGGAGAGATGTCCAGAAGAAATAATACGATGCAAACGGAAGCCTTTTAGGACTCTTTACAGAGGTAGATAAATGTTTCCTGATAAGCACTTTTGGCAGCATGAACAGCTTACAGAACAGCTCTTTTTACCACCTGGATTGGAAGTTTGCAAAAAGCAATTAAAGTGTTCTTCTTACCTCTGGATGTCAGCTCCACTGATGCTGCTCTGTACAAATCATCACCTCACAAACACAAGACCAAGCATCTCCTATCCCTCTGCATTCTGCTCATGCTTCACGGCAAATGTACACGAAGAGAAAACTAGGGAGGGGGTGGAAGAAAGCGGCACAATGAGAAGAGGAGAGAAAAAACAGAGAAGGGCGGAGTGGTGGAGAGGAAGGGAGGGAAGGAGATGCTGCGGGTGAGTGAGTGGAAGCGCCCATTAATTTGAATTTAAAGGATGTGAGGAGAGGACGGCACGAGACGCAGCCAGCCTTGGAGGGAGGAGAGAGGGGCGCTGGGAGAGGAAAGAGATGGATGAGAGGGGGAAAAAAAGAGTCTGAAAATGAGATGAGAGAGTTGGGCAGTTAAGAGGCATCACTGCCGGTCAACTGTGCATCTATTGATCCGCAGCGGACGGGTGGTTTTTCTGCCAGAGCCACCGGAGATAAAACGGATGAAAGGGGGGAAAAGAAAAGACGACTGCTGTGTTGTGCTTTTCTTTTTCATTTTCATTTTTTTTGTTTGCTGCCAACCTGCGAAGTGAGAAGTGTGTGAGAGCGCTCCAGCTGAGCACATCACACGCGAGACGAACACATTCAGTTCGCAGAGTCGGAGCTGCCTCGAACATCCACTGCTACTTTCAGCGGCCGCCAGGAGTTGAGTCGAGATTTACGGGCTGCTTCACGTGGAGCTGAGGCAGCATCCAACGCAGGTGAAGCTTGAGATTTAGTGTTTACTGCTGCTGCTGCACATCTGTGCCGTCAGCTGTTTTATAGAAAAATACTGTGAAAGCGGAGGATACTTGAGCGCTGGAGAGTTTGTAAGCATGTCTTGACATCTGGAGAAGGAAGAAGACTGAGCCGGCAGCTCTCGTCCTGGCATCCTGAGGTGCGAATGGGATGCTGAAACCAAGATCTTCAGGAGTCAAGATGTGGATTAGGAGATGAATTCCGAGGAGGGGTCGAGGAGGGATGAGGTTTTTCGGGGTGAGAAGGCAAGAAAGGGCTGCCACTGCCCCGTGGCGACTCCGCCTGCCTCCACCGCCACCTCCCCGTGAACATGCAGGTCCTACAGATCGTCAAGGAGCTGGTGTCGCCGTCCAGACGCAGGGCAGCGGCCAGATTCGGAGGTGTGTGTGCGCATTTTATGAGCCATTAAGCTTCTATTGCAGCCACGAATTGTGTCAGAGGACAAAGATTTGAATCAGTGCAATGAAGACAAGATCAAATCTACCTGACCAAACATTATTTTGGGAGAAAGGTACGAGGAGAGCCTTGTTGAATGTATGGAGATTGATATGAAGTGCATGCAGGTTTTCAGTAAATCTCGTCCCTGAAGCAGGTGAAAGGTCTACTGTTTTACTCTCTGTTATGATGTGCCTCACTGTGAGGAGCTGTTAATCCTCATCAGACAACTTCATTACTGTAGGTTTCAGTGGAGTGTTGGTGTTTCACAATAGTTTAAGGTCACTGCCTTTTCTTGGTGCAATTTCAGAAATATTTGTTACTCTGATCTGCATAATTAGTCATGTATTAATTTGCAAACTGCTGCCTAGAAAGTGCCATCCGACTCTGTGTCACTTGCAGCCTCTTCTCAAGAAAATTTATAGATTTGAAGTTGGTGAATAAGATGCATAAAAATGCTCCCAGCAGGTGCTGAGGTCCAGTTTAAAAAAAAAAAATCACATTGCTTGAAGAAAAGTGAAGCCCTAAGATGTGCGAGACTGATGCCTGCAAATAGATAGATAGATATCTGCATATGAATACGTAGAAGCTGCAGCCGGGGGGAAACAGAAAGCCTGTCATTCACTTGTAGTCTGGCTTTTATTGACCACTTGGGTTTTGAGCACACTTTGGTACGCTGTGTGTGGTAAGCATATAAGGGATGTCATTTTCTGTAATGCATTAGCTAATCATGGGCTGTTTCGATTTAGCTTTACATTCATTTTTCATTTACCTGCATTCGGCTACAGTGAAAAGGAAAGCTTGGCTCAGATATCTGCTGCCTGCACGCGAAACCCCTCAAAAGTAGCAGCCGAGGTTAAGTCAGCAGACTTGGGCCTGTTGTGTTTAGACCAAACACAAGGCAGTTCTCTTAGATGGAGAGATTCAAAGTATGAAAGATGGACGTAGCTATAGATTAGCACAGCCTGGTTAATCTCCTTTTCTGACTCTTAGAAGACCAAATTATGTGGTTAGAGACGGGGCACATACAGCACTATTAGAACCACATTAATGGATCTTTAATGCCCCCTTTGTCCCTAAAAGTCAATGTCACAAGCAACACTTCTGATAGTTGATTTGATGTGGCCTCCTTGGCACAAAAAACGGTCCAGTTTAATAATAAAGTTAATTAGTTTGTACTGAATGTCATTGTGGATGAGTTTAAACTTTTTGGTGTGCCATGTGTCATTAGTCTGAATGGGACGGACATGCCCCTCGAGCAGCTTCTGTAATAGCTCTGTTGCTGTGGGACGTGTGTGTGTGTGTGTGTCACGGCTTCATTTCTCTGGTGTGCACTGAATAATGAAGCATGGTGCTCTGAGTAATGGAACACTATCTGACCACTGACCCGGTCCTGTCTCCTGGTTGGATGCCACCCTGTGCCGTAGCCACAGGTTTGCCCGAGCTCTTTGCCCCTGCAGGAGGAGGAAAGGCACAGCTTGTCGCTTCAGTGCTTCTCGAATAAAAAATAAGCTTCTGTTTGTTACTGTGGGGAAATTTGCATAAATTTAATGAGAAGTTAATGGGCAGTTTAATCGACACTTGTTGCAGGTTTCTTCAAAATGTAATCTTTTTTTTTTAGAAATACTGTTATTTATTTATTTTTTGCACCTGCTAAATTCTATGTTCATGTACTTGATATCAGCTTTCACCTGACTCTTTCTGATTTGCCTCATGTTGTTATTCCACTTGTGCAAATGTAGAAACCTTTATGTGCTTGAAGCCACTGTTAACCACTGGATGTACCTGCTCTAGCAGCCAGGATATATTTGATTTAAAAGGCTTGAATTCAGGTAGGAAATGCTTTGTCTCCTGCCAGCTGGCATTCATAACAGCTTCAATTTATCAACTGGCCCCACTAGGACACTTGTGTAGGGCCAATTAAAGCACACAAGGAAGCGCTGCAGCATGGGCTGCATTGGGGGGGCAATATTTTAGGACTTGGGTCCCAAATCATTGGTCAGAAAAGATCGATGGAGACAGATGTTACAATCTCCAGCACGCAGGTGCTTTATTTTTGGTCACTGGACAAGGTCATTTACTAGTTTAACTCCTGGTTGTTACGTTTCTTCCATTTTCTTTTCGTTAATGCAGACAATGCACTGGGAAGTTGGCGGGTTAAAGAGATAATATCCAATCAGATGGTATTAGTTAATTTATGAATAGGTATTTTATAATATTATATTCTGAAGGTCTCATTGTCTGGAAATACACATAACTGTCTGTACTTTTGTGCTGTTATTCCTTCATCACTGTGAAGGGACAGCTTTTCCACAACATATATGTGAAGTCCAGCTCATTAAGGGAACTTTGAGCTGTTTTTAATGACTGAAATACTTCTGTGGACACTCTTTTTCTTTTTTGAGAGGTACGTGTCCAGCATGGGAGCAATAGGGATTTCTCAAAGAATGAATTGCTGTAACAGAGGTGGCATAAACGGGGTTACAGACTTATCACATCGTTTTGTGTTATTGTTTGTAGTGAATCTACCTAAATGTCATTATCACATCTGAGAGTGTCTTCTGGTTCAGAATGAGCCTTTGGGGGGTGACTATGCTCAGCAATGAGCCTGATACAGAAACGTCGATGACTTCCAGACCATTTTATAAACGAGAGCTTCTGCTCTGCTTGAGGAAAAGAGAAGAAGTTGGGGGAAAAAAATTGAATAAAAAATAAATATTTTATTACAGTACTGTGTTTGGCGTGGAGAGTGGTGGGGGTGGCTTCAAGGGTGGCTAAAGTGTGAGAAAAAGCACTGCACCCCATCGCCTTTCTCTACTTTCTCTAATTGAGCTGCATTTGTCAAATTCAAAATCCAGTCCAACATCGACAACCATGAAGATAACTTTTTTTGTCTTCTTCTTTTAAAGAATGATAATATTTTTTAATGACTGCCCATTAACAATCCACACTTTCCATTTGGCTGTCGTCTTTATCTCGGTCTATCGGCCCTGCAGACGAATTCACCTTGGCTCCTCTCGCAGCCTGAATCAGTGCAGGCAGATTTAGCACGACGGCCTCCAGCAGATACAGGACACACAAATTCACACACTCGCTGCAGTTCTGTGCAGACTGGGAGGAGTGGTGAGTGGGGATAAGGTGCGAGGTGCCAGCAGATGTTGTTGAGCTCCTCGGCTGGATAGCGCGATGGCATGAGTGTGAGATAACAGAATATCTGATAATTTGCCCAGCTCCCTGTCAGCTTTGCAGGATCAAAACCACATGTACTTGTGAGAAAGCATCAGATTGTGTGTGTGTGTCTGCCACATTTCTGAGCATTTCTGAGCATGCTCAGTGGTTCCTGCCACATCAAAAACAATACATGTCATGTTCATTTTAATAAAGTAATGTCTTAGTTTTAGGAGAAAGAGCACTCGTAAACCTGCAGTTTTGAACACTTTTCCTTGGAGACAACTTAAAGTGAGCTGTTAGGGCTGCAAGCACCGTGTTTAGTGGTTAATCAGCAGCTAATTTTTTTACCAGTTTTTCATTTGCTTCATAGCACAAGACCAAGTATAACAGCACATCCACACACATTGGGCGATCGTGGCTCAAGAGTTGGGCGTTCGTCTTGTAATCGGAAGGTTGCCGGTTCGAGCCCGGCTCCGACAGTCTCGGTCGTTGTGTCCTTGGGCAAGACACTTCACCTGTTGCCTACTGGTGGCGGTCAGAGGGCCCGGTGGCGCCAGTGTCCGGCAGCCTCGCCTCTGTCAGTGCGCCCCAGGGTGGCTGTGGCTACAATGTAGCTTGCCATCACCAGTGTGTGAATGTGTGCGTGAATGGGTGGATGATTGTGTATAGTGTAAAGCGCTTTGAGGTCCTTAGGACCAAGTAAAGCGCTATACAAATACAGACCATTTACCATATTCCACAAATTATTTAAATAGCTGCTCTTATTACCTGTAGAATAAGTTAACTAGATGCCTCTAGAAGAAGGGAAGAAACCTCTGGATGAATGAGATGGAGTGCAGGGATCAGAGGTCAGAAGGGGATCTCATGGCAGTGTAAGTTTGCAAAATGTAACTTGAAGGAGGCCGACTGTAGCTGAGTCTACGATCTGGTGACTCGAAGATGTCTAGTAAATAAGACAGGAGTTGCAGTAGATGATTAGATTATTAGAAGGCCTGACCCCAGCATACCTGAAACCTCTCCTGAAATTGGAAATCAACACTGAGAGAAAAGTAGAGCCCAGACTGAAGCAGCTGACCTGAGAAGGTGTAAGGCAGTGGGAGGGGAGGGCCTCCTGTGGCTCAGATTGAGTGGGTTCAGGTTAATTTATTGGTTGATTGATGTTGTTGGTGGGTCCATGTTTTAACTACTTGTTTGCTTTATATACAAGATAAACAGAATATCTCCGTCTTATAATCAAAGCCAACGTGAAAGTGCCTGAAACATTTATTCTTTCTAATGGTCAGCAGGGGGTGACTTCTCTAAAAAATCAAGTTACAAAACAACTATAGAAATCTATGGGCAACTGGTCCTGCTTCTCTCTTCATCTCTGACCTCAGTAAACACTTTTCAAATGAGATTATGGTCTTAATCACTAGTGTATAAGCCTGACTTCCCTTCTCTAAATAATGGTCCCTATTGCATATATTAGGTCATGCTCTAAACTGAAGGTTGTTGGTTCCATTATTTAGAAGAGCCACTCCCAAAAGTCTGGGCCGCAGCCCTCTGTACTATATTTCATCCTGAACTCATCAATAGTAGGAAATATAATGGAGCAGGTGCCAGAAGAAAAGTTGCCGAAAAACTTGAACTTGACAAGGGTCTTAAGTCATAGGACAGAAAATTCTTGGAAAACTTTGTTAAACTTTTCTGGGAAGGAAATCCGTTTATATTGATTTAGGTCTGCAACAGCCTGCGGGAGGTCCAAGGCCTCAACCTGGGCTCTCATTCAGTCCAC